ACACACACACACACACACACACACACACACACACACATCACGCCACCTCCACCGCTCACTACACCTCGACCTAGGGCAGTTCTTCCCTTTCTGATTCCCAGTTGTCTCCTTGAGATGGAGGTGGTAATAAATGGTGCATAATTCGTAACGTGGTGAGGACTCCGTGAGTACAGGTGCATAAGGCGCTTAGCGCAGTGCATGGCATCGCGTCAGCAAATGGAGGCTATTAGAGTGATCCCATTTTTCTTCTGTGGGGACAGGGACAGGACATGGGGTGGGGGTCGGGGAGGGGGCCAGGGACGGTAACCGGGAGCGTGATTCTCTCCCAGGCCTCCTCCTCGGGTACCCAACAGGCAGCAGTACGCGCGGCCCAGGCGGTAGCCAAGGCCGGCGGTTCCCAGCGGCACCTCGCCCTTGGGAGGTCACCCTTCCTGAGGACCCGGGGCGATTCCCCGTGACTGCCCACTTCAGACACCGAGGGGTGCAGATTTAGGTGGCGGCACCGCGACCCGGAGTGCTGTCCCCGCGCCAAGACCTGGAGCTCCCGCCTGTCCCCGGGAACCCCGAGGCCTATGCGGGCGACGACGGGGGCAGGTCGCGCTCTCCGGCCCTGTGTCGCCGGGCCGGGGACGTCTGTTCCGCCCGCCGCGGCCCGCGCAGCATGCAACACCCCCTGAGCCCAGGCTGGGAACTCTGCGCCCCGGGAGCCCGCAGAGGCGCCCGCGCATGCGCCGCGCCGTCCCGCTGCTGTTTGACCGTTTCCATGGCTACGCAGCCGGTCCGCTGGATGTCCCGGGGCGAGAAAATGAAGCTCAAGAGCCTCCTGCTCCGTTATTATCCGCCAGGTACGGGCCGCGACTCCTCTGCCCTCGCTTGGGACCCTGGACTCTGGCACTGGGCGGGTCTGGGGTGGAAGAGGGTGCGGGGGGCCTGAGAGGGCAGCGGGGTCCCTCTGGGGGTGATCCCTGTGGGACAGGAAGCAGGGCGCTTCCCGGCATGGGCTGCTCAGTCTTTCCGTTGCTGGACTCTGTTCCTCAAAACTTTTAAAATGATTCTTTTAGGAAGTCTCTAAACGTTTAAACTACCTAGTTATAATGCTTTCTGTTTAGTTAGAAATGTGGCAGATGAGGAGGGAGAGGGGGTGATTGGTCATGTCCTGGTATCTTCGTTTCCGGAAGGGAAGACACTGACAAGGAACATATAATGTGTTTTTTGTTTTGTTTTGTTTTTTAAACGTACCACAGTTATTAAGTTAAGATGTGTTGACTATGAAAAGAGAAATGGACGCCCGACCAAACACATTATGTTCGTGATTGTTTTAACACATTTATTGATGGCCTACCGTGTAGGTGTTTTGGCCTCTGTGCCTTGGAGACTTAAAGAAAGCGACAGTCCTTGATTCACTGAGTTAAGGAATTATGAAACAAGCCCCTAGAATGCTATAGTTCGAGTAGGATAAACTTGCGTAGTTCTCTTGTTTCATAGGTGAAGACATGGTCACCTTTAGAGACTATTTGAAGTCTTATGGTCACCTAGCTTGTTAGGGACATAAATAGGAGAAGAACTCTTGGCTTCTAATTCAGAACTCACATTAAAAATAAGAAAAATATAAAATAAAAAGTCTGAAAAATTTGCCACAAAGCCGTTGATGACCAAATTTACTCGCCTAATGAAAAGTTGGGGCCTTCCTGCAAGCGTGGACCTGAGCTGCAACTTTCTCCAATGTGACATTAACATTTGTAGTAAAGGCAGCCATTTTCTTTCTCTTGGAATTCCAATTAAAATAACATGAAAAAGGTCTAGATATGAGAGATAGTACATAGGAAATTTAAAATTAAGATTAATAGCTTGTTCTCTTTGAGCATTCCACAGCTTTACTTTGGCTGTGCTTGGATGTAGTCTGGTGTTGGTTCCCATAAATAGAATGATGAATGTGTTGCTTTCATTCCTTTGTTCTGGAGTTTAGGTCGAGAACATGCGCTCTGGAATCATAATAGCTACGCCCGCCATAGAAAAATGTAGTAACTTGGGCAACCTGTTTTGATCTGTTGAGCCGTCAGTCAGATGGTGACAACAGCACCCATCTGACAGGACTGCTGACCCTTTGTAGCTACTTTCCCATTTATCTCTTTCCCTTTAGAGTAAACCTCCTGAAAAAATGTTATTTCTGGTTTTTCTTTTCTCTTCTGTCTTGTAGTCTTGTACCTACTCCTCATGGTTTCACCCTCGCTGCTCCACTGAAACTGCCCTTTTCAAGGTCCCCAATGACCTCCAACATGGCTAACCACCCCCTGGCCGCACTCAGTCCTTGCCTTTCTTGACCTGAAAGCAGCATTCGACCCATTTGGTCACTCTGCCCTCTTTGGCTTCCAGGACACACACACTGTGTTTTCTCTTGCCTCGCTGTCAGTCCGTCTTGTTGGCTTCTCCTCTTTCTGTAAGAATTTTTTTTTTTTTTAGCTGAGCCATCCTGCTACCTGTTGGCAGCTCAGTGGCTGCTCAGCTCAGGCCGGGCCTCGAACCGCTGTTGCTCAGAGCTCACACTCTTGAGCAAGCTCTTAACCACCTGTGCCACTTGGCCGGGCCTTCCTCTTTCTGGTTGTAATGTTGGAGTGCTCCAGAGCTCTGTCCTTGGACTTCTCTATCTATACTCATTTGCTGGGCGATCTTATCTGTTCTCAAGGCTTAAAAGCCATCCTGAGTAGTCCTGAGCACCTAACTGCCTGCCTGACTCTTTATTCGGATGTCCAGTGTGCATCTCACACTGGCCTCCTGTGGCCTCCCTCATCTGAGTCAATGGCAGCTCCGTTCCTCCACCTTGGCTCATGCTAAAACTTTGGACTCATCCTTTTCTTCTCGCTTGCACACTGTACATTTGGTCCAGTAAGAAGCCCTGCCGGCACATCTTCAAAATATGCATACAGTTATGCACCGCTGAACGACAGGGATACATTCTGTGAAATATGTCTTGAGGCGATTTCATCCTTGTGCGAACAGCATAGAGTGCACTTACACAGACCTATTGGATTGTCAGAAAAGTCATGATGCATTTTTGCAACAGATGGAACTAGTTCATTTTTGGAAGTACTAGAGTCATTCGCATCTATGTTGTTGCTAAGTCATTTGACAGCTGACAGTTCTAGCTTCATTCTAAAAAAAAAATTGAATGATTTGGTTGAGTTTTGAAGATGTTACAACAAGTTGAAGATGGAAGACCAAACTGTGCATTTTTGCCATAT